ACCCATCCTTCTGCTGCATACAAGAAACACAGCACAGCCTCAAAGACAGACATTACCTCAGAGTTAATGGTTGGGAAAAGATTTTCCAATAAAGTGGACCCAAGAAACAAGCAGGGGTGGCAATCCTAATATCTAACAAATTAGATATCAAAATAAAATTCATCAAAAGAGATTAAGGAGGGCACTTCATACTCATCACAGGAGAGATCCACCAAGATGAAGTTTCAATTTTGAACATCTATACCCCAAATACAAAGATATCCTCATTCATAAAAGAAACATTACTAAAACTCAAATCACATATAAAGCCCCACACACTTATAGTGGGAGACTTCAACACCCTACTCTCACCTCTAGACAGGACTACCAGACAGAAACTTAACAAAGAAGTAAAGGGGCTGATAGAAGTTATGACTCAATTTGGATTAACAGACATCTATAGAACATTCCATCCAAACAAAAAAGAATATACCTTCTTCTCAGTGCCACATGGAACCTTCTCAAAAATTGACCACATTCTTGGCAACATATCAAATCTCAACAGGTACAAAAAAATTGGAATAACTCCATGCACCTTATCAGACCACCATGCATTAAAATTAGAATTCAACAACAACACAAATTGCAGAAACTCTACAAAATCATGGAATGCACAATTGCACCATTCCTGGGTCAATGAAGAAATAAAAAAAGAAAAAAAGAAATTAAAGACTTCCTAGCATTCAATGAGAATGATGACACAACATACCCAAACTTATGGGACACTTTGAAAGCAGTGCTACGAGGGAAGTTCATAGCACTAAGTGCTCACATGAAGAAACTCGAGGATAGCTGCACTAGAGAATTAACAGCACAACTGAAAGCTCTAGAACACAAAGAAGCAAATTCGCCCAGTAGGAGTAGATGCTAGGAAATAATCAAATAGAGGGCTGAAATCAATAAAGCAGAGACTAGGAAAACAATACAAACAATCAATGTAACTAATAGTTGGTTCTTTAAGAAAAATCAACAAGATAGACAAACCTTTATCCAAACTTACCAAAGGACAGAGTGTGAACATGCAAAATAACAAAATAAGAAACAAAACAGGGGATATAACAACAGACACTGTGGAAATCCAGAAAATCATCAGGTCATATTTTGAAAACCTGTACTCCACACAATTTGAAAATCTAAAGGAAATGGACAATTTTCTGGATAGATATCACTTGCCAGAATTTTTTATATATGGTAATGGAATACTTTTTGCCATTATTTCTGATACTTCTGTGTTCTTATTCTGTTATTTATAGATATTTTTAAGTATTAGTTTTTTAAAATGTGATTTCATTCCCCACCACCAAAAAAATGAGTTTTACTTAAAATTCTGATCTATCATAAGCCTCATAAATATTGAGCTAAAATAGTATGGTACTAAAAATATAGCTTTGTTTTTCATTCTCTAATGAGAAAATTGTAGCATACGGAGATACAGACAAGCAGCTTGAATAGAGGAAGGAAAATGACAGTGAAAAATAAACCATATGAGGGATGAAGAGATGGGTCAGCTGTTAAAGGCTAGGCTCACAACCAAAAATATAAGAAACCATATGAAATGTCACTTATTTAAACATGAACATTAAAGTCAGGTATCAATCACCCTCATATCTCATGGAACCATATAGTGCTCAGCCCTCCAACAAGCAGCCTCTAGACTCCACAGCTCTGACTCCAGAAACTTCCTACAGCTCTCCTTCCAACTAGAAGTAAACCCTCCCAATTAATAACCCCAGGTCCAGGACAGTAGTAGTGGAGTGCCTTGAAATCTTAGTGGCATGCTTGGGAAACTTCTAAAGGACTCATTAACACATAGAATACTAGCCCATTTGGCTGCTAAAGCATACAGAAATGAGTGTTTGTGTTTACTGTGTAGACACTCCCTACTAACAAAAGCCCTTATTCATGATTGAATTTTCATATTTGATGCTTGCCAAGTTTCCAGGTGATAATGCTAAGCAATGATTTCTCTTCTGCTCCTGGTTTTATTTGACAGCAGGCACATGGTTTCTCTGAGACCTCCTGGAATACAAAACCTTTCAGTAACTAAATGTCATCTGAAGCCTCTACATTAATTTTCTGGCTTTTGGTTTGTTTGACTGTTTCCCAGTTCTCCTTTTTCTAGATACTAGCCTTTTTGAAAGCAATGAGGATACCTAATTCTTCCCAGGATCCTCTGCAGATCACATCACACATTGTCACCTGCCTGCTACAAAGTCTATTGGAGGACCGTGCATGGCAAAGCCAAGGATCTCTGTCTTCCACCTTTGGAATGCATGAAACAAGAATCCAGATTCATTAGCTCTTTTCACTTTTAGGTAAAAAAATCAAGCAAATCAATGAAGCAAATAAACCCTGTGTTTATTTAAAGGACTTTTCCCATTAATGAATAGATTTCTTTTTAATTTGACAAGAAGGTGAAGTTCAGCATGAGGAAGCAGAAATGTTCAGCAGGCTGACTGCAAGTGTCAAAAGCAAGGTTAATAGATTCCACAGTCCACACTGGGTGGTAAATTAAGGAAAGCTAAGGATGGATAAATACTAGTGAGTTGAAGAGTTGAGGAGTGTTTGTCTGTTCGCCTTCAGTGTTTATTCTTATAAAGACAAGGAAAAGTTCTTTCTGTGCATGCCTATATCTCATGCAGAATGCTGAGGGTGAACTAGTGCTTAACACTGGCTCTACCCTTCTAAAGCCATAGTCAAGCAGGAAAACATACCTTTATCTCTGGTCAGCAAAGAGTCACCAGTATTTATGTGTCAAGCCAGGGAGAAAGCAAGCAAATTATATGGGACATTTGCTATGTGCCGGACAGTGGCCAGGTGCTTTGTGTATTTTCTCTCATTTGCTGGGCTGGCAGTGAGGTGTAATTACTGTTTGCTTGTATGACTGTGGGTCTTAACTTCTCAGTGAGTTTAGAAACTCCTGTTTTGAAAGTCTTCATGTAGCCATAGTAGCTGAGCAGAGTAAATAAAATGTGTGTGGAACAGTTCTCAAGCAGAGGTTTAATTTTTTTGCATTCAAGAATTTCTTTGTTAATGCCTACAGATTTTATTCTCTAATGATTCTTTTCTGTAATTTCATTATTCTGTGTCTTTTTAAGGGTACTAATTTCCCCACTTGTCCTTTTTGATCTCTAAATATCCATGTATTTATATGCACTCTCCTGGTATTCCCATCATCCATAGCTCCTCTAACAGCTGACATACATTACCCAGTTTTATCCACTTTTACCTCCTTTGTAAAATTTATGCTCATCATTCAAAAAATCACAAGTTTTTAAGGGGAGATCTAGTGTTTTTTTCACACCTATTATATAAGAAGCACTAGATTGATCAATCATCATTTAGTACTGAAAAAATCTTTCACGCAAGGTTTATTTTTTAGCCAACTGGTTTGTATGTTGCCTTAGCAGTCTCTGTTTCAATCTGAAATCTGGATTTTCAAAATTCATAAGATATTTCAATAATATATGCATATAATAAAGAGACATATGTGTGTAGAGTTGAAAATTTATATAGAATAATCTGGATATACTATAAACATTAACATTTTATTAAATAATCATTAGGCAAATATATAAATATAATATATTAATATATTATTCTAGATTATTCTGTGTTAATAAAACACTGAATTCCTGGGTACAATGGATATTTTTCATGACACATCACAGGCTTGTGAAAGTTAGTTCCAAGTTTTCTCCAGATGAAATGGGTGTGGTGCACCCACTGTAATCCCAGCACTTAGGAGATGTGGATTTGAGGTAGAAGAAAAAGAGATCCACACATATTCTTAGCTCCATAACAAGTTCTATGCCAGCCTACAGTACAGAAGACTTGGGAGGGAAATTTAAAAGAAGGAATGAATGAAGGAATGAACAAACTAGCAAACGAATGAATGAACTGACCCAATGACTGGCACAATGCTGACCTCCGTTTCATCCAATCACCAAAGTGATTCCAGAAATGAAGACTAGATTCGTGGGTGATTGTAAAACCCAGCTACCAATGAGCACCTTCAGAAGACTAAATAGCAAAAGTGAAAATAGAAAACAACCCTGTCTATCACAAAATGGTTGTTATCATGCAGTAACTGAAGCTAAGAATTTTTTTAATTCCAAATTTATACAGATAGCCAGGCAGTGGTGGCACATGCTTTTAATCCAAGCACTCCTAAGGCATAGGCAGGTAGATCTTCTGAATTTGTGGCCAGTCTGTTTCCAAAGCTACATAAAGAAACCCTGTCTCAAAACAAAAACAAAAACAAAGCAAAAAACAACTTCACAATAACAATAACAATTTCACATTGTTAATGAAAGCAAAACAAAGAATTTGAAATGGTGTCATTGTGGCATGAGCATGTTCATGAGGTCAATGATGTCCTTCATAGCACTCAGACATCTTGAGAGGGTGCACAGGTTGGGCTCTTGAGTAAAGGTATTCACAGTGTTTATCTGAAATCATCCTTTTGTTCTTGGCTCTTAAAAAGCAACTGATTGGATACAATGTGTCCCTTCCTTCTGTTGTTCCATACATAGTCTACAGTGTCTTCAGTCACTCTTGGTAAGCAATGCACTGTGGTCCAAAATAAATGCTTCATGAGATATGTAGTCAATTTAACTTCTTAACTAAAGGAGGAGACAAGCATGACAGTGATTTTAATTTCAGTTCTTCAGAAATGAAAATGAATACCAATAGGATGTATATGTAAATACATATTAGTCTTTTCCTTGATCCACAACTTTGGGCTAGAACCTTCCAGGGCTAGTGGCTTATTTTGGATGGCCACTAAGAGTGAGGAGGCTCTCCAGGGCTAAACCAAGGCATCTAACCTAGCTCGTCTGCATCCAGGAGTCATAGGCCTGGGGTATGGGGCTCTAAACAGTCTTATTTAATTCGTTGTTTATTAAACATGTCAGATCTTCAAAATTACGTTGGCGTGTTCCCTATTGTTGCAGGTTGTCAAGGTTACTTCTCTGGAGAACTAACTTACATCTATTCTCTGGCACTCATGACATTGCCCCTGGAAACCTGGTGATTAAACAAGCAAGAGGACAACGCATTGAAAAACGGAGCAGCCATGATCTGTGTAGGTTGTTATATGTAGCAGCATTTAGAATTTAGGGAAGGCCAGTTCTTTCAAAATTTAGCTCAGCCTTCATAACCTCCCCTAATTTTTATAATATCAAAGTTTTAATACAAACACAGTTTGAATTATAAATACATTTTCATGGTTTATTTGAAGAAAATAAAATCACACTTCTTTTTTTAAACTAGGATACTTTTTTTTTCTTAAAACTTTACACCTTGGTCCAGATTCTCTTATATTGAGTGTGTGGCATTTCTGAAAACCCCATAAATATAAGTAACCACAGCTGGGGGAATCTCTGCCTGCCAGCAGCATTCCTCATCCCCTGGAAAACAGCAAATGTCTTTCTCTTTCAACAAATTGGGACCACGAGCTTCCTATACCAGTTAGTAACTCAAAGCTATGGGGAAACAGGAAAGCCCAAAGGGATAACAAATAGTTTTTTATCTCCAAAAGGAGTATCAGAAAATACAATAATTATGTCAGGATTTTATTGTGATTACATCTAAGGCAGGGCTCAGATTGGATTTATTTTTAAGCCAAATCTCTTTCTATGGCTCTTTGTAGTCCCTCCGTGTGGCCTGCGGAACAGCAGCCTGAGAGAGATTGCGTAGCTTCTATTAGCTGCAGTTGCAGAGTGCGTGCATTTGGCTTGTTTTGAGAAATGCTTGTCAAAATGACCCTTTGGATGTGTCCCCAGCTACAAGTTGATCACACCGTCACACTTGTCGTCATAAGCATATTGAGGTGAGTGGCAGATTGCGCCAAATGATAAGAAGGTAAGATTGATTTCCTATCGTGGCTGCTGATTGGTTACCACTGTCGCCAAACCCTTCTGCATTTTCTGCATCAATTTTTAGCCCACAACCTAAAAGAGCTGATTTGAAGCACGTTTCCTATAAAGCATCTGTCTTCCAAGCCCAAGCATAATCAATTCTGATTGTTCTTCAGGCATTTTTAAAGCAGCTGGAAAAGAAAAGTCAGTTTCATCCTTCCGTTTTTAGCAGAAGCAACACAAATTAGCAGTCATGTTCAGGATGGAATCTTGACGGCATGTCTAGTCTTTATATCCTGTTCTTTTACTGGACAAATGATCTTCATTCCTTCTCAAAATCCCACAAATTCACAGGAAACAGAATCTCTTTTATAGCCTTTTATTGGCATGGAGAAGACTATTAAATCTGTGAGCATCCCCAAATGGCAGAACCCCCAACATGTGTGTCATGGAGGTCATTATACACTGAATGGCAACTTACCATGTTTGTCACACTACAGGAGCTCAGATTTAACTTACTTTTTAAAAAATATGTGGAAAACTGCCACGCTGTAGCTTCATTGATTATTCGTCTATTTAATACTATCTCATTACTTGAAGAAAATGCATGCAGTTAAATAAAATAGAATGAGAGTTAAATTAAGCAAGTGAAGAAATTAGAGAAAATTGAAAGGAAAATAAAATTGGGAACTAAATTATTGCATAAAAGACTTTCTTGATTTTATAGATTTGCTTAAAATTGGATATTGAATTACCTCTGAGAGTTGTAGTGCCTACACATTGACTTTTGTTTCCTGAAGCTACACATAATAAGTCAAAAAGTCAAATCTCTTTTCCACAAGGAAGGCCCCCAGATACACAAAAAGAGGTACTGAGTCCTCCAGGCTAAATCAGAATAATGATCTTACCCATTGCCCAGAAAACATGAATTTTTTCACCTTTAAGAGGAAAATTCTAGTCTATTTAGTTCTTTCTAAGCTTGAGAGCCCAGGGAACTTGATTTCCTAAGATAGGTTCACTTAACTTTTCTTTAAGTAGAATAGATTTTGACATGGAATTGAGCCATTTGTGAGACAATGACTGGACCAGACATTGCTAGACCCCAGTGACTGCAAAATACATTTTTAAAACTATCTCTCCAGATCTAAGTGAAGTCAGGAGTCATTGCTTAAATCCTTCATAGTGATCTGCAAAAGCCTGCCATACACACATAGACACAGATTCAGAGCTGTTTAGACAGCTGGGAACCTTAGCAATTGCTTTTCTTGCTTACACACTTGATGGACTTACATTGAGCCTATTCAAAAATGAAGATATATTCTATTCTAAATTTTTTCTTATAAAAGAGGTTTCATGCAAGGATTCATTGGGCTGAGCAGACTCTGGTAGCTGTGATTCCAACAGTGTCAACGTCGTAAGGTAGACTATTACATTCTCTCCCCCATGTTCTGTATTTGTTCTCTCTGAAGCTTGGCATTTAATGACCAAGAAAGACTTTGTCTGGCAAGGACCTTCCTTCAGAAAGAGGAAAAAGTGTCTGTGCCCCCATGCTGAAACCCCTAGTGAACATCATAGGCTGTAGTGGGGAGAGAAACTGTAAATGGTTTTTAAGTAAAAGTCAGCACATTTATACCATGCTGAAGACATTACATTTTGAAATATTTGAGAACACCTTCAAACCCATGGCCACTCCCTGAAACTCACCCTTACATAGACAGGAAACAGCCACTATTTACATCCTCAATGATCCCACAGCATAGCAGTCTGATCCACGTACCATCTGGCAGCTTGAAATATATTTGAATATCCCTCAAATCAAGTGGCAATTATGCATCAGCCAGCTGCGATCTTCTGCCATTCATCACTACCTTCTCAGAGACCATTCAATTAGACATTCTAGGGAGATTCTGGGGGAATCTAACATCCAGATCAGAGGTAAAGTTGTTTCCCAAGGTTCAGTCCAAAGTAATTAGCATTCACGACAGTCCCACATTTCAAGTGGGGGGAAAGTACCTTCTAAGTACCTCTGCCCTGACATCAAAATTTTCACAAGTGTATCAAAAGATTTCTTTTCATCTCCAGCTTCTCAAGGTTGAGTGGCTCTGTGTTATAAAACCTTTGATAGGAGGAGTGGCGATGGTGTCCACAGCAGTAAATGCAATGTTTGTTGTCTTGACAACAAGATGCAAAAGGTAGCCTGGGATTCAGGTGCTGCTACCCCTCTCTGTTTAAAGCCCTGACCTCTGACCTTCTTCAGAATTCAGTTCCCTGATCAGAAAGATGTTAGTTTTTCTACTCCTGTATAAATGTGATTCTTTGAAAGATAACCACAGGACCTCTGGACAAGGGAATGCTAGTCTTCTGATGTGTATCCGAGACACTTTAATACATGATCCTCTAAGTGTAAAGCCTAAAAAAGAATCAAAGGACACAATCAGAAATCCTAGAAGGAAAAGAAATACAACTATATAAGAACTTTTAAACTAAAACATAATCGTATCATTTCCCTCTCTCCCTTTTCTCCCTCCAAACTTGCCTATGTTCCACACCATTCCCTTTCAAATTCATGGTCTCTTTTTCTTTAATTGCTGTTGTGTGTGAGTGTGTGTTTGTGTGTGTGTGTGTGCGTGTGTGTGTGTAAATGTGTATATAGTTTTTCAATCAGTCCACACACAAGTTTCATCTATGTTAGCTTTGTGGACATTATGATAAATTCTCAGAAAAATATAAGGGAACACTTACATGGAAAATGGTCTTCATTTTCCAGAGAAGAAATACTGAAGTGCATAAATGATAGCATAAGAGATGAACATTTAAATTATTTAAGTAGAAATATATAAGCAATAAACTGGAGTGAGCAATAAATTACTGAGCAAATTATGCTTCTTATCATATGAAAAAAATTTAAATGTTATTTCTAATGTTTGTATGTGGAGTAGTCATTATAGTAGCAGGACATGAAGCCTATGTATCAACCCCTAGATGAACTAAATAGAAACACCAGAAATAGTTGATTCTGAGAAATAGAGCTGAGACAAAGGAAGGACACAACAAGGGACTACACTTTTCTGTTACTTGTTTTTTCTGTACTACTTGATTTTATAAAGTGCCCATGGGATGTTTCCAACACTGTCCTTGGCTATTTGCTCTGTACCTTCAAGAGCAATTCAGACAGAAAGCTACAGCTAAAGAAGAAACTGAGAGAGCTCTTTAGAGCCTCTTCCTGAGAGCCCGCCAACATAGGGAACAATTACTTAGTTCAAGGTTGGATTCTACCACTAAGATTTTCTATCTCTAATTTTAGTAATGACAGTTGATCTTAGACTGAAGTTAGAGATACAACCAGCCACAACGAGACTCTTAAAATCCATAGATCAATTCACATGTCTAGTCATCCCCACTCAGAATTTACAAATAGATTGTGATTCCCCTAAGTCAGAAGCCCAACAAAGAAGTGCACTGAAGAGCATAAGAACAGTGAGTTCACACAATCCACAATCCTCTGTATGTGTGTGGTTTTTTTTTTTTTGTATATATAAGAAGGTGGTTTTGTTGTTGTTGGACAGTTTTTTTGTTTTGTTTTGGTTTTGAGACAGAATCTTGCTTTGTAACCCAAGCTAGTTTGGAATTTACTATGTAACCCAGACTGCTTCTGAATTCAAACCTATCAGTTTTTCCGTTTGCCCCAGGCTCTGTTGGGTTGAGATTATAGGAGAGCCGCCACACCCAGATTAAAGTTACATTGCTTTTAGTGTCTACCCGCTTCTCTCTTCCTCCCCCCTTCTCCCTTCCCCCTTCCCCATAAAATGGAGACCTTGGAATAAAGCTCTGTGACAGAGTAGTTGTTTAGCATTTTTGAAGCCATGAAACACAGAAATAAAAGAAACCAAATTTTGCAGATAATATAAATTAGAAAAACTACATTTTGTTTAAAACAGAAAGTGTATCTTATGTATGCAGTACAGTGGAGGATGGGATCATTGCTTCTCTCAATGGAGTCATGGCTGACACAGAGCTTCGGGTGGCGCACCTGCTCAGTAAGAAGCGAGAACTCAGGACTGAGTATCACTAGACTAGGGGTGGTTGAAAATTCACAATTGAAAACATGGTTTCTACTGAATGTGTATTATTTTCCACCATAGTAAAGGCTACCAGTTATAAGCTGAACCATTGTCACAGACCCATTGTCTTCATTCAGATTGCTAGCCTCAGACTCACAGAAACAATAGCTAATCTCCACTGACCATCCATTATATGTTAATTCTTGCACAGGAACTGGCTCATTTCTTCTTCACACTCTGCTATTTGCCAAGCCATCGTACTAGCAATAAAAATGAGAACCAGCAAGATCAATTTAACCAGGTAAGCTTAGTTAGTATGTCTGTGCTCTGAACCCAGAATTTACTTGTTAGATAGGAAAGTGAAATTATTTAGCCCAATTCATAATTTTTAATCGACAATAATTCTGCATTACAGGAGAAAACTAACTTTCAAATTTGCACAGCTGGCTAGTGCCAGAGCCAAGACTAGAACCCACGAATTCTGGCTTCTTGTCCAATTCTCTTTCAACCACAGAAGGTCACAAAATGTTAAATTCATTAAGACTGCACAGCCCATCTGGGCTTTTTAAGAGCCAGAAGAGTAAGTCTCAACACTAAGTTAACTTGGGATCTGGAGAACTCTAATACCACCAAATGGTACCACACTTGGCTGGGGAGCCTTTTTCCCAGTTTGGTAGGGTCACCTCGAAGCAGATTATTTTTTCTTCACATACCTTTAGGGTAGAAGAAATATTTCCTGTAATTGACTAGTGATTAAAGTGAAAACTTAAATTAGTACACAGGGAAATTTGTGTGTGGTGAAATTAAAGCACAGGGTTGAAAACTACACAGAAATCATTTTCCTGTATCAAGTCAATTCCTGATCTCAAATTGGTGATTAATTCAACAATCACATTCATGGCTTTAGCCACTAAACTATGATGTCACAGTGCTTCTAAAACAATGAGCTCAAAATTTACATATTTACACATAAACCCTTGGAAACTGAAGACAGCAAACAAACACAAAGGAATCACAAGAAATTACTTACACAACTCACCTTTTTTATAATATTAAATATTAAGAACATCTCCTTACTTATATTAGCCACCATAATACCATTGCAAACTTTCATGGTAAGAAAAGGTCTATGAGCAAATATTTACAATTAGCTTAGCAAAAGCATTCAAGTAAGATCTTGGAAAAAATAAAACCAATGATTCTTGATTTTAACAAAAGAAATGGGAAAAGAAGTAAAGATATAACCAAGGAATTAAAAACACAAACAAACGAACAAACAAAGGAGTCCATAAATTTGAAGGGGCAGGGGGAGTGGCATTTGGGAGGGTTTGGAAAGAGAAAAAGGAAAGGAGAAATGTTGCAATTCAATTATAACCGAACAAAGAAAGAAAGCAAAACTATGGTCATCTCTCATCCTATGGAAGGCAACACCATGAAGGGATGGGGATGCAGAGGCATGATGGAAAGAAATGCTCCAAGGAGGGAAGTAGAAAAGACTCAAAGAGAAATGCAATTTCCTTTGGAATTTATTCATTGCCCTGTGGTGTTGTTAAAAATCATCCTGAAGGGTGCTTCTGGAAGACAAAGCAGAGTTAAGCTAGGACCTTCCTGAAGCCATGAACTTGGGTCAGGCAGACTTTCAAAGAAAGTCTTTTGCATTCCTTTAGCTATGAAGGCTATGGAAAAGTGGGCTGGGGTATGACCTGAAATCGAAGCTGATATGGAGAACTGATAGTTGCCAGGATTGGCAGATTAACCTGAAATTCATATCACATGTGGTCAAAGGTCACTTTGCTTTTCGATAAGAGATGTATATACTTTTAACTGTGAAAGCGTTTGAGAGAAAGAAGCAAACCTCAGAGGCTTCATTCAAGAATCACAGAAAACAAAATAGAACTTTGGACTGCAGAATTCTGAGTGATTAAACGACTACTCTAGTCTCAAATAGTTATTCGCCAAGACAGCCAATGAGACTGGCAGCAATGATGGACAGGTCGAATTCCTAGGCCACGCAAGCAAAGGTTGCAGGAGCCAATCTAGAGAGGCTCCCAGTGATGCTTAGCAGGTGATGTGGACTATAAGGACGCCCACCTTCGAAGGTTAGATAGGCTGCTTCGTGCATCTCAGTGTGCTACTGGTGGACTAAGGTAAGGCTCTGTGCTTCCTACAGCCAAGACTTATTTGGCCAGGTTTCAGAGGTTCTCAGCAGTTCAAAACCCATGAAATGATTTGTTCTGTTTTGTTTCTCTCACATTTTACTCAGACATGGATTTTTAAAAAAGAAATAAAAACCCTATAGGAGACCAGCTCTCCAAAAACAAGCGTATCTCCCATGTCCCTTCACAAAGCAATCCCCAGTTGCATCAAGCATACTTCAGAAGTACTTCAGCAAACACTTAGAATAGAAAAGTCCCTAAGCCCAAGGGAATAAAATCAAACTTTAATGAGAAGTTAAGTCATTTTTGTATTAAATTTCTGGTTTCAAATGTTTTAATGAATCACTTTTTTTGCTGCTTTTTCTTTTAAAGAGCCTCCTGGCTTTAGTGAGAAGCCACAGTGACTAAGTTCAGCATAATTGCCATGAGAGAAGAAATGCCCCTAATCATCAGCACCATTAATTAGCTCTAACTACACATTCTCAAGTAAAAGATGTCATCATCATTGTACAGGGCACCACACTTTATGGTTTCTCTCTAGGGGAAGAATCAGGTAGCATGTGATGAAAATACCAAAAATGAAGGCTCGGCTAAAGGCTTAATTTCACAAAGAATCTAAATCTATCCCATTGACATGGGTCTTAGGAAGTAACACAAGGGGTGGGAGGGAGAAAGGCTAAGGAAAGAATGTCAGAGAGAAGCAAAGGGACACCAGAGAAGAGAACAATTCTATGTAAGAGGCCCATGCTGATTCAATTATATTCCAGGAGCCTCCCATCATCCCATGGAATTAATAGGTCTGTGTTTCATATCCAAAAATCGTGCTTCCTTGTGATGACAGATATTTGATAGGATATTATTTATATACTCCACAACTATGAGGTGAAAACAGAGCGTCTTATTATGGACACGTTAAACAGAGTGACATAATAGCAGAGGGCAACAGGGTACTGTTTAACTGAGTCGACATACTAGCCTTTATGTAGACTAGAGCAAGCACGTTTCTCTGTCTTAGCTAAGGTTTCTATTGCTGTGATGAAACACCATGACCATAATAAGCAACTTGGAGAGGAATGGCTTATATCATCTTAAAATATTAATTCATAGTCCATCACTGAGGGAAGTCAGAGCAGGAACTCAAACAGGGAAGGAATCTGGACTCTGAATTGATGCAGAGGACATTGAGGATTGCTACTAACTGGCTTTTTCTCCAAAGCTTGCTCACCCTTTCTTATAGGACCTCTGTAAAGAGAAAAGCCTTCCTGCCAACCTGGTTCCAGAGCCGCATCAGTCCCAAATAAACACACAGGAGGCTATATTAATTATGAAGCTGTTGGCCTTGCTTGTTTCTTACTGGCTAGCTCTGACTTAAGTAATTGCCCCGTAATTGTTTATCTAAGTATTTCTCTTACCAGAGAAGTTTCCAGGCTTCCTACCCCATGGCGTTACATCTTGACCCCCTGTTTTTCTCCTACCCAGAGTCCTCCTGGATTCCTAGTCCCACCTATCTTGGTTCCCTATTGGCCAAAAGTGCTTTATTGACATGTACATAGGACTTCCCCCATCAGACTTTGGTGCCCCTGCCTCATGGGTAGTACTGCCCAATGTGACCTGAGTCCTTTCGCATCAGTCACCAATGAAGAAAATGCCCCACAAGTTTGTCTATAGGCACCCTGTTTCTGCATTCCCACCACTAGAATTATAAGCACATGCTGCTGTACCCAGGTTTAAAATACAGTCCTTATGCTTATCGAGAATGCACTTTAGTGATTAAACCATCTCCAAAACTCCAGATATTATGAATACCTGTATGTGCTTGGTGTATGTCAAGTATATTTATGTGTGTATGCACATGTGTGTATTCTTATTTAACTTCTTAGTGTTATTTTTACAGAAAGACTATTTCCTCTATTTCTCTTGGGACCCAGAGATTCATACAGTTGATTCTGTTTCCCTAAAATAATTCACACAACAAATTGATTTGGATAATCAATACAAAATTACATGAATTGCAAGACTAGATAGCATTTTAAAAGCCTCAAGAAGAAAGTGTTAAACACGATAATTGTTTGTAGGATGAGAATTCCTCATAACCCCATACTTTGGTCATAGAATGTAAGTAGCAGCCTAAATAAAACCATCAACTCTTTGGCCTTAAGCTTCCCAGGAGCCCAAGCAAACACTGGATTAAGTTATGCAATTTTCATTTATTTAAAAATTAATTAAAGCCATTCCCAAAAGAAGAAGTGCATTTTAAAAAATTTTGTCCATAAAAGAAATTGCCATTTAAATGTTTGTTTGTTTTTTGTGGGGAGTTGAATGTTTGTGTGTTTGGTTGGTATCTGTTTGTTTGTGTATTTTTATAGGGGCACAATATCTCAAAAAATCATAGAGAAAGTATACCATGTTTGGTGTTCATTTGGTTCAGTTGTTGAAACTCAGAAAAGAACGTGGAAGCACCATTGGGGAAGAAAAGACTGGCCAAGATGCTATAGGCTGAGAAGATGAGCATGTTGACATCTGATGTTGTCCAGATTTAAGAAGAAAGCAAAGGCTCAGGACATGGATGTCTTTGTCTGGCAGGTAGCACTGTCTCAGCACTTGTCAAAATTACTCAGAGCTGTATCATATGGAAAGCACTAAGCTCAGTGATTTTAATTCTACTTAGAGGTCAAGTTGTTGTTCTTCCATGGAAAATAAATGTCACAATCATGATTTCTCAAGTAATTTTCAATTGGAGGAAGAAGGCTGTGAATAGTCATATTGATTTTAGGACAGCCATGTGCTGCTGGACGGTAACAACCAATGTAAAAATCACAGAGAAAGAAAACAGTATTGTTTTGCATTTCAGAAGTTAAAGAGAAAATAGAGTTGAGGAAACAGAAAAAAAGTGACACATAGACAACTCTGCCAAGACACCTGCATAGCCAAAGATCAAGATAGCCAAAGATGAAGCAAACAGGTTGCTTGCATCCTATCATAGAAATTCATAAAACTTCAAAATTCCAACCTGCCTAAACCATAAGGCCAATACCTGTGATACCTAAGTATTCAGTATCAGTGTAATTTAGCATTACATAAAAAACTGGAAAGTTTTTAAAAGAAAAATGAACAGTATATAAAAGTAACCTTTGGAGAAGAGGCT